TGAGTGAGGGATTTCAGGAGTTTCAGAGTTTAATCAGAACGCAAGGGAACACTGCAAAGGCTGCAAAAGCAAGGAGAGAGGGCTGGCAGAAAGTTGCTGACAAATTAAGCTCGTAAGTAATTTAATAACCAGCAGAGCTGAGCTTAGGAGGAGCTTTTTAATTCCAGTTCTTGTCTTGAGAGTCCTTCTCACCACTCACCTGAACATTAGCTCTGTTGCTTCCTCCAAGAGCTCCTTGCTGCTTTTTAAGTAAGGATTAACTCTATCAAGATTTACTTACTGCACGTGTTCTCTGCCTGGCAACAACCCTTCTTTCCCTCTGACCCACATGAGACTCTCGCTTCTGCCATGTTTTCATTGTTGAAACTCCTAAGTTAAATAAATTATTGTGAACCAGTCTGTCAACCACGGGCGATTCTAGGATCAGAGCTTTGGGGGTGCTGAGCACCCAAAGAGGTGCCCAAACTTTACTCGTCACAATGAGACTTCTTCCCTGTCTCTGTCAGTCCCTGCATCCCTAAATGTCTCCACTTGTCCCGAGTTCTCTCTGACTGTCTCCTTGGTGCATTTAAACCCCTGTTCCTCCCTGTCCTCATCGTCTGTTGTCTTCATCTCCATTATCAGTCATCATAATTTTACCCTCTCAGTGCAAGTCTGCAAATTTCTTTATTAAATCATAAGATTCTTAAATTCATCAAGTCTCTCTGTGCCTGGGTCCTCTTCTCAAAACATGACATCACTGTTTTGTACATTTTAACACAATTTAATCCCACGTTTGTGAAAAAAAAAGCAAAACACTTTTTGAAAAGTCTGTAACAAAATCATCAAATCTGATAATGGCTATTTAAATGCTGCCAAAGAAGAATGGATTGGAATAAAAAAAACAAAAACAAAAAAACATATCCTAACTGTTAAGAAATATATTCTAACAGTTCTTCAGCTGAGAATCACACAGAGAAACACACAGTTTTCTTGCTAGCAAGGGCAGTCACCAGAACGCTCGCACGCGAGAGTGAGGGCTCAGAGACTCGCCACGCTGAGACT